CCGCACCTCCTGGGGAGCACTGCCACCGCCCCATCAGCCCATCTCTACCTGTAGGCATCTTCTCATACGTGTTAGTGTCTTTCTGTTGCTGCGCTAGAACACAATGACCGAAGGCAGGTTATAGAAGTGTTTATTTGGGCTGACAGTTGGAGAGAGATGAATCCGCCGTGGCAGGGAAGCAGGGCAGCAAGCAGCAGGCCTGGTAGCCCCAGCAGAAAAGCTAAGAGAGCCCATCATTTACGGCAAAGGGGAAGCAGAGAGAGCAAACTGGAAGTGAAACTAGAATCTCTCAAAGCCTCTTCCCAGCGATAGACTTCCTTCCGCAAGGCTGCATCTCCTAAACCGCCCAGAACAGTGCCGTCAGCTGGGAAACCAAGTGATCAAATGCTTGAGCATATGGGGGACATTTCTCACTGAAACCAATACATTTCACTTTCTGCCCCCCACCCGTAGGCCAGTTGCCTTTTTACAATGCAAAATGCATTTAGTCCGACTTCAAAACCCCCGTGGTCCTTCACGGTCTCAACACAGTTAAAAGCCAACTCTCTTCTGAGACTCAAGGCAATGTTTATTTGTTTTATTGCTCTAATTTGTTTGTTTCATTTTTGAGACTGTTTCCCTGGCTGGCCTGGAACTCACCCCTTAGACCAGAGTAGTTTCAGATTTACAGAGATCGACCTGCCTCTGCCTCCCAAGCGTTGAGATTAAAGGTGTGCGCCACCACATCCAACCTTCAAGCCAATCTCTTAATCGTAACCCCCTGTAAAATAAAAAAAAAAATCAAATCGCGTACTTCTACCATATGACTAGCACAGAATATACATTATCGTTTCAAAGCGGAGGCGTGGAAACAGTGAAGGAATACTCGACCAACGCAAGCCTGGAACCCAGCAGTGGGAACACCAAACCCCCTAGCACCCCTAGCGCTATGTATCTGAGATAGCTCCGCCCCTCAAGCTTTGCAGCTCTCGGGCGGGTTCTTCTACCTGTCCGCAGCTCTGCTTGGCAGATGTCCCACTGCTCTGGCATCACCCACGTCTTGGAATCTCCCCTGCAACCCAGGTTTCATTTTCACGGCCTCACGCAATGGCGTGCCAGGTCCCTTACACGGGGACTCTACCTGCCACATGCTGCCTGGCCCCAGGGGTTCTCTGAAATTGCAGAGGAAGAATTATGACCCCTTCAGGCCTCTAAAGCCAGAATGGTCCTGCACCCCTCAAGCACGTTAGCGGCCACTTGCCTGGGCAGTTTATTTCCAGACGCTGAAACTTACAAGTTGGAAATTTAGCTTGGGGGGTGGGGGTTCTTTCTGCTGTTAATATCAACAACTGCAGTCTCTCTTCCAGCATCTGCATTGGCTGTGACATTAAGCTTACTAATGCTCTTTTTCTCTCCAAACTGTACTTTTCTTTCTCTTTTCTTCCTTCCTTCCTTCCTTCCTTCCTTCCTTCCTTCCTTCCTTTCTTTCTTTCTTTGTTTCTTTCTTTCTTTGTTTCATTTATTTGAGACAGGGTTTCTCTGTAACTTTGGAACCTGCCCTAGCATTTGCTCTATAAACCACGCTGGCCTAGAATTCACAAGAGCTCCGCCTGTCTCTGCCTCCTGAGTGCTGGGATTAAAGGCGCATGCCACCACCGCCCGGCCAAACTGTACATTTCCACATTTCTTATTTCTTTCTGCCCCACTTGCGCCTTTCCATCGCACACCCACATAAGCATTACCGATGACAGTCACACTACAGGCTCAACATTATTCGGGATTGAAATTTCTCCAACAGAGAAATTAGTCTATTGCTTTTCAGGTTAGCCTCAGCCAAGGGTGGAAGGCAGCTAGATTCTTTGCCAAAACATCACAGGAATGTCCCTTAGCCCCACTGCTATTAAAGCCATTGCTTCCCCTGGAGCCTCAGGCCTCCACAGTCCACTTTGCTCTCAATCCTATGGCCTTCCAGGCTCCTGCTAGGATGGCCCATTAAGTTTCTAGACCAAAGTTCCAAAGTCTTCCATATACATCCACAGGAGAGCACGGTCAGGTTCTTCACAGCCACCATCCTGGCATCAATTCCTGTATGAGTTTCTTCCCGTTGCTATGCTAACACATGACCAAAGGCAGCTTACAGAAAAGAGTCTACTTGGGCTTTGGTTGCAGAGGGCTAATGCCTCCCATTGCTTCCCCGTCATGGCAGGAAGCATGGTGACAAGAGGCAGGCACAACAGCAGGAGCAGAAAGCGGAGAGATCAGCAGTTAGAGATCGGTTCTTTCACCGCAAGCATGTAGCAGGGAGAGCAAACTGGAAATCCAGTGCGGCTATAATCTATCCAGGCCTTCGCCCAGTGACATATTTCCTCCAGCAAGGCTGGACCTCCCACACCTCCCCTGACAGCACTGCCAACTGGGCAGTGTTCAAATGCTCGAGCCTATGGTCGACACCTCCCATTTAAACCACCACTGCCTGGTTCTTCTTCACTGAACGGAGACAGACCCAAGGCCAGGTTGTCCTCCCATTGAAACATGCCCTACTCTGGTTTCCCTCCATCCAGGCCTGATCCCCAGCATCTTTCTTGCTGACGTCACAGCAACTTTCTGTCTCTAAAATCTAGAATTACTGCCAGTTCATTCTTCTCATAAGCTGCCAGGATTATCTTTATTTATTAAAGTAAATAGCAATCGGAACAAAAGCTCCAAAGGGTGTCTGTATCCTAATCCTTAGACCTGGTAAAAATGTTACCTTTCACATTTAAAGGGATTTTGCAAATGAAATGAAGTTAAGGGTCTCAGAAAGGGAGACTCAAGATAATCACAAGAGCTGGGTGGTTGTGGTGTACACCTTTAAACCCAGCACTCAGGAGGCAGAGACAGATGGATCTCTGTGAGTTTGGAGCCAGCCTGGTCTACAGAGCAAGTACTAGGACAGGCTCCAAAGCTACACAGAAAAACCCTGCCTCAAAAAAAAAAAAAAACTATGGAGGGAGTCAGAAAGCCAGAGTGAGAGAAGACTGTGAATCAAGGAAAGAAAGTTCTAGAAACCAAAAAAGGACAAGGAAAC